TAGTACAGAGTTTTCTTTTTGGTTTCCAATTGCCGATATGTATGTATGTAAGGCCATACCTGAAAAAGATGCAATGTTGTAATTGACTTTTTGGAGAAGAGAATATAACAGATTAGTAGTACAGAGTTTTCCCTTTGGTTTCCAATAGCCGATATGTATGTATGTAAGGCCATCCCTTGCACGATGTTGGTTGGGTGTTGTAGTTGACTGCAGACTTGTGCAAGTACACGCATGGTGACGAACTTTTGAGTTCGGGGTTCGAATTCTTTGGTATAGGAAGGGGCCCAGAACACCTGCACGACCCGGAGGGCAGGCCATGCCAAGAAAGAAGTGCGAGCAACGGGTTCGACCAGGGGCTTAGGAACAAGGAGAGCGGCCCGAAGGAGTGGGGGGCAGCGGGCAGCTACCAGGGACTTAGGGCAAGTCAAAGGGGGCGGGAGCGAGCAGGTGAGTCGCCCATCCCCTAAGTCTGCTTTTCAATTCTGACAGGACCTTTGGAATTTTGCTTGTTATCCGTGTATCTGAGCAGAGCATGCCGGGGACTTTGAAATTTCATCTCTCTGGACTGACTGCTATATACCAATTAGTTGTTGCTGAAAGATGCTCCAAGCAAAGTTATTGAACTGGGACTTATCACCATTTTCGCCCAAATTGTCGCCCCTGTAACGTAACGGGGGAAAGAAAGAGAGCAGAAAATGGCAACAATACCAGAGTTAACTGGCTTTCCTCTGGCCGCCCATCTCCCTTCGCGCCGCACCCCCAGTACCTATCGCCGCGTGCCGGCTTCTCTACCAGTGGACTGCCGCCGGTCGGATAAGAGCAGCTCCCGCAGCTGCGGGTGTTGCTCAAACTTGGCGCGCAGCACTGTTGCCATCACGCCGTCCTTGCGTGCTTCCCAGGCCTTGAGCTGTTCTGCCGTCATGCGACGGCGCCGCCCGAGCGCTTTCGCGGATCGCGGCCAGCTGGTGAGACGCACTCGCTCAAAGTACTCTGGGTCGGTGCCCTGGAACTTGGCTGCCTGGAAAAAGCCCTCAACATGGTGGTACTGCAGGTTCGAAGTGTAAAAGTTGGAAAACTCGTGGAACGCAGCGCTGGCGCTGTGATACACGATGGCGTCGGCGGTCAGCCACATTATATGTCGAGTACCGAAAGGATAGTCTCCCCAAGTTGCACGCATAGTCTTTCGTTCTCGACTTTATTGCATCGCGCGTAACTTAGGAAGCGCACGAAAAAACAGGACGCCCGTACTTCTTCTGTTACTACCTTCAAGTCGACGATCAAGCCTCTGTCCCTGTGCGCGGCCCACTTGCTCACTTGTAAACACTCACCCAGCATGGTAGGTGAGCCTCCCCAGATTCAAGAAACTTGTGAGTGCATGGTTTTACCACCTTGAAGATGGCTTGCTCTTGCATTTTTTGGCGTCTTTTGGCAGGAGGTAAGCCAGCCTTTGCCACCAACCCGTCCCTGCGTGCCATCCAGGGTTTGATATTTAAGCTCAAGAAGGCCCCACGAATTCTCATTCTTCCAGCCTTAGGAAAGTCTCACCCACACCCTGTCGCTCTCCAGAACGCGCCGAAGACAACCATTCCGGACGCTCCAATCGCCTGCCCTTTCGAGCGTTGTTGGCGCCTCAACAGGAGCTGCACGGTTGGCAGAGAACGCTTCGGCCGATCCCACTGAAAAGGAAGCACCTGCTCAGAGTAGCGGACCAGCAAGAGCGGCTGGTGACCTGCCAAACGGCTTAGGGACACAAGAACCTGCTCATAAGGGCAGACAAGCAGCAGCGGGTGGCGACCTTCCATCAGGGGCTTAGGGAGAGAGGGACCTGCTCAGAAGGGCGGACCAGCAGGAGCGGGTGGCAGCTCAAAAGGGCGAGACAGGTGAGTCACCCATCCCACCCTCTTTTCCCTATGTTTGATAGGGAGGACCCTTAGATACATACATATCAGCAAACCGGCCGGGTGTCCAAGACTATCATACTACAATCTGTTATTTTTTCTTTCTTCTCCAGGGAAGGAATTATAACAGATTAACAGTACAGAGTTTTACCTTTGGTTTCCAAGTGCCGATATGTATGTATGTAAGGCCAATACCTGAAAGAGATGCAATATTGTAATCGACTTTTTGGAGAAGAGAATATAACAGATTAGTAGTACAGAGTTTTCTTTTTGGTTCCCAATCGCCGATATGTATGTATGTAAGGCCACACCCTGCAAGATGCTGGTTGGGTGTTGTAGATGACGGAAGACTTGTGCAAACACATGCATGGTGACGAACTTTCAAGTTCTGAGGTTCGAATCCTTTGTTATACGAGGGGGTCCAGAACACCTGCGCGACCCGTGCATCTGCGCAGAGCCAAGAGGCAGGCATGCCAAGAAAGAAGTGCGAGCAACGGGTTCGACGAGGGGCTTAGGAACAAGGAGAGCGAGGGAGGAGCGGGCAGCTATCAGGGGCTTAGGGCAAAGTCAAAAGGGGGTGGGAGCGAGCAGGTGAGTCGTCCATCCCTCTCTCTTTTCCCTGTGTTTGATAGGGGGGACCCTTACATACATACATATCAGCAAATCGGCCGAGGGTCCAAGACTTTCATACTACAATCTGTTATAATTTCTTTCTTCTCCAGGGAAGGAATTATAACAGATTAGCAGTACAGAGTTTCCCCTTTGGTTTCCAATTGGTGATATGTATGTATGTAAGGCCAT